CATTACTCCTTGAAAAGTTGAAGGAGTATTAGTAAGCCCATAGGGCATTACTAAATATTCATAATGACCCTCATCTGTACGGAAGGCAGTTTTAGGAATGTCATCAAGATTCATCCTTATCTGATGATATCCCGACCTCAAATCCAACTTAGAAATTTTTTTAGCTCTTCCTAGTTCATCAAGTAACTCATCAATGGTAGGAATAGGGCACTTATCTTTAACGGTGTCCTTGTTGAGGGCACGGTAATCCATACACCCTCCAACTCCCATCAGCTTTCCTCACTAATAACACGGGTGACGAGTATGGACTTTGACTGTTCCTTATGCTGCCATTCTTGATCAAGTCAGCTACCAACTTCTCGATTTCCTCCTTCTGGTAATAAGGATACTTGTAGGGTCTGAAAAGAAAACTTGGAGAAGGAGTTCAACCAAGCACGGTGCTACCTAGCATCACCTCCGAAGGGATTCTCGTACCAGAACCCGAAAGGATTTTTTAAAGGAGGCTCAAACGAAAAGGGAACACGGCCGGAGTTGAAGTTTTGGTACAATGGAGTGTTATAATATTCAAAAAATTGTTGTACTTTTTGAATCCATTCATTTGGATTAGGGCCATCAAATTTAGGAAAGTCCAATCTTAATGTTCTAGCTTGAATACCCCCATTCCCTTCAAACAAAGGATTGTTACTGACCTTAGAATTGGAAGGACCTTCCCCACGATTATGATGTGCTGCTAACTTTTCATAGCTGGATGCCAAATTATTGATCTGTTTAAGTACTGAGGCTAACATCTCCTTCTGTCTCTCCTGTTCCTCACGCAGGTGGTTGTTCTCCCCTTTTAGTGTTTCCAAAGCTTCTGCTATTTGTGCCTGCCAAGTTCCATTAGCCATTGTTGCAGAACCAAGGCTCTGATACCATTGTTATTTCTTAAATATGTAGAAAATCGTTAGATGAATTTGTATGGTAATTCAAGGTTACCAGGCCTCCACTTGTAATCTGTAATTTGGATAAAACTTCGATTGCATTCATTGAGAAATAACCAAAACATAAATAGGCCAGGATAACTGGCCTTTACATGACCTGGGACATGACCCAATAAACTTGGAATTGAAATAACATACTCAAACAAACTGAAGGACACATAATTAAAATAACTACACACAATAGCACCACTCGACCCACTACAAATGACTACGTCAACTTAAATAACATAAAACAATTAATTCAAAATGACAACACTTCATAACACTGGAAAATGGATTGAATATCGAAAACCCTACCTCATAACACTATTGGTTCCAAAGTTACATCTTCGGATTCGTCATTGTTTGGATGTGGCGCAAGTGGTAGTGGGTGACGAAGGCGGACGGTTGTAGGTAGAGTGTGTTTTGGTTTAGTTTGGTTGGGGGTGGCGGTTGATTTTTTTATTTTTGGTTTTGGGTGGGTGATGTGAGGTGGAGTGGAGTGGAGTGGGGGTGAGTGGTGAAGAGATGAAGGAACAATTTTTTTCTTTTATTTTGTTTTAATTATTTTAAGGGATAAATGGGTAAATGCAAAGTTATCATTTTATCTTTTTTAATTTGGTCATATTCTACCGTTCTTGGTCAAATTGATGTTTTCGATTCATTTGAACCCCAGCTGCTAAATTTTTCAAATGTTAGGAATCTCCGTTGGCACAAATTGAATGTTAAGATAAAGTTTACAAAAAATTGAAAAGATTAGGGATTGCTGCTGCAATTTTCCCGAAGATGAATGTAATGATTTTCAATTAAATCAAGAATGAGACTTACGGTACACCATTTGATATTGCCCTTTTACTTTTTATGCTGTTACCAAATGGTTGGGAGCTGTACAAACTATGAAACTATCTAGATAGATTCGACTAAAGTCGTTACTCAAAACTTTTTAAAATTCCTCCTGAGTTTATGCTATGTAGCTCGGGAGATTGAGATTCCCAAGCTCACAGTAGAAGGGATAGGGAGACTACGAGGAAGAGGGGATGCGCCGGTGGGGTGAAGAGGGATTCCCAACTCACAATAAGATTTACACTTTTGACATGTCAGGTTAGTGGTGGCAAATGGGCTAAGCGGCTCGTGGGCTCGGCTCATGGTGGCTCGGGCCCGTCAAATGACGGCTAGGCTAGCGGCTAATGGGCTCGTCCAAAACAAAAGGTATATCCTTTTTTTTTAAGGTTTATATTTTGAAAAAAAAATTACAAGCCGAGCTCGGCTCGGCCCGTGAGTAACGAGCTGAGTAGAAGTCGGCTCGTGTCGAGCACGAGCTCGTGTGCATACGGACCGAGCCGTCAGGTATGAGACAATACGATTAAAGAAGTAAAAGAAACATAAAATTTTGTCTTACCAAATATGCTATTGATCTTGGTAATTCTTTTCTGCTCAAATTCAATTAACTCTTGGCCCTCAAATCCCCTGCTTAAAGGGAATCTTGATTGCATCACCATTTTTCAAGTTTATGTTTTTTGTTTTTTTTTTTAAACTTCATCTTGTTGAAGGCATTTGATTCCAAGCTGAACTTTTCACAGCCAAGGTTGGATCCCAAACGACCAAGTTCTTGTGTGTTCTCCGGACATATAATTAGTTTCGAAGAGACTACAACACTCGAGCAGCACTAAGGGCTCCTTCATGATGCTGACAAGTTGTCATGTGATATTCCAATGCAAACAAGATTAGGGGGCTGTCTATTTGTACTTTTCCCCCCAGATTTTTAGTGTATTTATGCCCGTTGACAGCCGTAAACTTTGACTTTTCTCTCACAAGACACTTTACCAATGGTCTGAATTTCACTTTCAATTGTGGCAAAAAGTGCTGCCAGACACCGCCTAGATTATTCCAAACGAATAACGAAACTGATACAAGCAAATCGAAAATAATGCAGAACTATATTATAAATTTCTTCTAAGTAAGATCTTGACTCTTTGTTCTTGAAAAGGGTCTCTTGATAATTAATACTTAAAATACAACGATCAAATATCACTTTTTATAATAGTATGGTACTAAAAATTACAAGAACATTACACCAAAATATAAATAAATAAATTATTTTATCTTCTCCCGTCGAGGCCTGCGGCTCTTGGGAGCTATTTTGGCATGAAATATGAAACACGTTATTTGCGTTTTTGTCCAAACAATCTACTTTATCACAACTATTTAAGATTTTGTTGAAAGAGACTAAAAGTCAAAGTCAATATCATGATGGTGGGACCTAGGAGAAAGCCGAAGTAATCAGCAAGTGAGAATTTTCCTGATTATTTCCTGCTTTATTAAATAATTAAAATAAATTAAAATATAAATAAATTTTGTTCCAGTGAACCCCACAGTTGAAAGATTCCTTATAAGCAACTATTTTGTAGGGTAAATAGATTAATACCGCGTTTTTATTTCATAGCTATTTAGCCATTGTTTGGTTATATATTTTTTTTGGGGAGAAATATTATTTTAAATAGTGAATTTTTAAAAAATATGTAGTTAAAAAGTAAAAAAATAAAATTTTAATTTACGTGTAAAATATTTTATTGTGTGGATGTATGATTGAAAATGTGTATGTAGACAAAAGAGTTTTGAAAGAATGAAAGACAAATGATAAAAAATAGACTTTTCATAATTTTTAATAAAAATTGATAACAAGTAGATGATAAGTAGTAAATTTTATGAAATATATAATTAAAATTAATTGTAGACTTGACTTAAAATTTAATCCATTTTTCAGCTGAACCAAACATGGACTTATATGGTAAAGTATAATAGCTAACATTCTAACGAAGTAATGAACACGTTGAATCATGTAACATTAGTTGAGAGCGTTTAATGAATAAAAATTAATGAGGAAAGAATAAATAATTACAAAAGGTTTTAAGACGCGCTTTCAAAAATAAGAAACTTGTAAAGAAGTTTAAAAAATCAGGTGATTACATTTGTGACCACCTAATAACATGTCGGGTTATTCTTCTTGTACATAATACCATGTTATAGGACATCGAGAACGTGATTAGGCTAATATTTTTCCGGATCATTCTTCTTGTACATAATGGGCACCATAATGGTGTCCATAATGGACACATGGTGCCCATTATGTCAATGTCACGATAACACAAAAATTATGGTTACAATCACAAAGACACAAATTGTGAATCACAATTACAAATTTAATCACAACCACACTTTTCTTAAGGTCTTATATTATTTATCGATCACAAGTATCAATTTTATCGATCACATATTATCCATTTTATTGGTCATGATCATCCAAATAATTGATCACAAATAATCTTCATCCCACTCCACCACCGCACTGCAACCACCACCACCACTACCACCAACCATCACCATTTGCAAACGACCTTTACAATTTCATAAATTGTACTAAAGACCCCATCCCCAAATCCTCATCCAAACCCTAATTTCTCCATTTTTCTCTTACCACATCTGGCGATAGGAGGTTCATCGAGAACGGTTTTGTTAAAATAGCAGTGTTGGGGAAATGGTGGTACATGGTGGCGACGGTTGGTGAGTGGGGTGAGATACACCTAATTTTTGAAAGAAAAAATATTTACACTTCTGAAATAATAAAATGAAAAGTAGGTGCTAGTGTAATTTCCATAATGAATAATAAGTTGTCAATCCATGAAAATAAAAAAGTACAATTTACAGTTTGCCAAACATGAAGTCACACTTCTCTACCAAAACAAGATTAGTTAAAAATAAATTGACCCCAGCCGTGTTAGTCACACTTCTCTACCAAAACAAGATTAGCTCAAAATAAATTGACCCCAGCCGTGTTTTTGGACCGAGTCTGTCTCCATCAACTTCCGTTACAAACACACTGACTCACTGATGAATGCATTGAACTTGGACCCTCCGCCTCTTTCTAAGCAACATCATCCACCCTCCATATTTCTTCCTATATAACATGACATACCCAATCCCTACTGTAAACAACTACAAGCCCTTCTCTGTAATTTTCTTTTGAACTGGAATTCTGCAGCCATGAATCTTCCTAATAATACTCACAAACCGATAACGATCCGAGAAGTCTGGTGTCAAAATGTTGAATCGGAATTCAAACTGATCACGGATCTCATTGACGACTACCCATTTATTTCCATGGACACGGAATTCCCTGGAGTTATCTTCAAACCCAATCCGGCCAACAATTTTAGGCACGGCCTACGTAGACCGTCACCTTCAGATCACTACCAGACACTCAAGTCAAACGTTGACGTTTTGAACTTGATCCAGCTTGGGCTTACTCTAACCGACGCTGACGGGAACCTCCCAGATCTCGGCTCGGACCAGCGATTCATCTGGCAGTTCAATTTCTCCGACTTCGATCTCTCGCGTGACTCTTACGCTCCGGACTCCATTGAGTTGTTGAAGAACCACGGGATTGATTTTGATAAGAACCGGGAATCGGGGATCGACTCCGCGTTATTTGCAGAGTTGATGATGAGTTCCGGGATGGTTTGCAACGAATCAGTGAGTTGGGTTACGTTTCACAGCGCGTATGATTTCGGGTACTTGGTGAAGGTTCTCACTCGCCGCGCGTTGCCTAGTGGGCTGAAGGACTTTTTTGAAATTCTCAGGGCCTTCTTCGGGAATAATATTTACGATGTTAAATACTTGATGCGGTTCTGTGAGAGTTTGTACGGGGGATTGGACCGTGTGGCCCGGGCGTTGGATGTGAACCGGGTTGTCGGAAAGTGTCATCAGGCCGGTTCAGATAGCTTGCTGACGTGGCATTCATTTCAGAAAATGAGGGATATTTATTTTGTGGATCGTGGGCATGAAAAATATGCTGGAATATTGTATGGATTAGAAGAGTATTAGCGATGACTAAATAGGATTATAATCAATTATTGATTGAAATAAATAATTCGTTTAATTCTTTTGGAAAATTTCTTGGGTTTTCCTTTGGACATAAAAACAAAAGCTAATTTTGCAAATCGGTAATTAATCTTTAATCCAATATCAAATATGTTGTAAAAGAATTTTTGTCTTCCGATAAACGAAAAGAATGTTTATAAAGCATGTTTGGGAAGAAAATATTAGAGGATATATAATAATATTTTTAAAGGAAAAGGCGATAAATATACTATTATATTTATTCAGGATTGATTAATACACATTAATGTATATCATGATTGATGCACACACAGCATTATTCAAAAGAAAATTGTGGCAAAATGTTCCATCAGTGTGTAGATGCTCAAAACAAGTACCAAAGAAAAGTGCATCAGATAGTGTTATATGAGATGACCTCATGTGTGCACCTCCCACATCCACTATAGCTTTTGAAAAAAATAGTTTCATTTCCCTACATCAATTGGTATCAATGTTGAATGTTTTGTGTTCAAATTGATGATGAAGCATTAACTTCAATTGAATGTATAGTGCAAGAATATGCTTGAAATGGAAGTGAACCCGATAGATTGGGTTTCTGGTGAATTTCTGAACTTCATTATGGGGTGATATAAAATAGATTGCATTTGGACCATGGACTATTAACTTTTGGGGAAAATGGTAACAATCCCCCTATATCAATTGAAAACTCATGAGAAACAGTCCAATGTGGATCATTATAGTACCCTTGATTTACTTCTCACTAGTCTCCACCAGTGTTCTAAAATGCATAATGCGTTGCGATGCATCGAGACCGAGAATCAAAAATCATAAATTTAGACGTGTCAATGCGAAGAATAAGTGTCATAATGCGTTTCGTATTTTTAAGGCATTAAATATATTTTTATATGAAAAAAATATATTTTTTAATATATCATAAAAAAAATAGAATTAAAATAAAAAGGGAATAATGCGCGCCTATGAGCGCATTAGACACTCATTAGGCGAGTATTATTCCCGCCTTTTATATGGAAAACACATTTTTTGTGCATTTCCCGAATTCGACGCGTTTTCGACCCATGTCGCGTATAGACGGCGCATTTTAGAACATGGGTCTCCACACAATTGAAACTTTTTTGACAGTGTTACCTCCCTAGTACGCTCAAACAAGTACGAAAGAAAAGTTTACCAAGTAGTCTTACATGAGTTGACCTCATATGCAGAAACATGACTATCTATAATAGGGAACTTCAAACTCTGCATCTAATTTGGAAGGATTATGCACAACAGCCTATCTATATGTCATGACAAGATACTACAACAAATTTGATCATATACAGCGATTAAATCTGACTGAAATTTACTCATTGGATTATTGCTATTACAGGAATTATCTAAACAAATATTATACAACGATCCACTTACCTCCTTCCTCCATTGTCTGGCACCATGTGGACTTTTTAAGGATCTTGGTTCAACTGTAAGACCTTCGAGGTAATTGAAAGAATGCTAGCACGAGAAATGATATAAGCACTCTTCTCAGGATTTGGGTTTCCAACGTCATCCTCTTTTACAACGATCATGAGCCTTTATTGTGGATCACCACCAAATCCACTTGAACTCCCTGTCGTGCTAGTAGGCATTTCAGTTTGTTCAGGCTGTAGTGTTTGGGCCGGTGGTATGCTAACATTAGGCAAGGCATAGTCTTCGGGAACTGTGCTCAAGCTATCCCAGTTAACCCCAGCTATAGTCGAGAATCATGGAATTTTGTATAATACATCTTATGAAAAAACTAAAAAAATCACATAAAAGAAGCAGAAAGTGACTAATTAGGATACGATCTGTCATCCACATGTCAGTGATACTTATATCAGCATCCGACAATAACCAATAATCGGAATCGTTCTGCAAAAGTCAAAACGAGCATATTTAGCAGTTGAGCAACTTGTACAAGAGAAAAGCAATCCTGTCCTCTGTAACTTTTCAACAGCCAAAAAAGGTAAAGATTGTGCTTTCTAGTGTCATTAAATTTGTTTGCGATGATCATTATTTTTTGAAGCGTGACTTTGTTGCTATTGGAAAACAATGTGCATGATATGAAGCAATTCTAAAAATGTCATGAATTTCATTAGTTCATATCAATCTGCATCTTTGAATATTCAATTAAATAATATTATACCGTTCCGTAAAATTAACTTACACCAACGTCTGGCACAATCTTCAAGATTCCACTCACAAAATCCTGCGATGTACTTGTGTCTGAACACATTCTCTGAGCTTCTAGGTTTTGAAGGTCAGCTTCGTTTACTCTTATCTCCTCGGCTGCTGGTGTTGCAGAAGTATTCTCATCAAGTGTTGATGTTGAAGGGATGCTTGGTTGCACCTCGACCCCATTCATCTCCTCAAATTTCTCTTCAAATTGACTAAATTAAGTATTAAGCAGAAAATCAGAAACAAATAAAAGACGTAACAAACATCAGTTGATCAATAGTCTCCCTTATGATAGAGGGTCAACTTTGGTCATAAAGTGCAAGGTGATAATGAATGCACTTCCTTGCAAGAAGTAAAATACCTGACAAGGTAAACATCTATAGGTCCCATAGTGCTCCGGAGAACTATTCTATATCTCCTCTGTGGATAATCAATTGCCTAAATGAATCAAGGAAATTCATGAGTAATATATGCAGGTACAAATTCGTCCCCAGTACTTGGCTATAAGTTATTCATCGCCTTTCCAGAAGAAAGTAAAGGAAATTAACCTCATCAGGATCTGGAACTTCTAAAGTGGTGCCATGTGGAGCTTTAACTGCTATCAAAGTTTCGTTCTGATGTAAGGAACATACCTGTGTATCAGTAAGAATCTACCAACCAAAGAAAGCTGTAGGACTGATGGGAAGTACCTGAAAGCAAGGTAAACTCTTGATGTCTTCTTCAGTCACAAAAAGCCACCTGGTGAAGAAGTATGTAAGCACAAGTATCAACACAAAAGGGAGGGAGCCAAATGTCCACATATTATTTAGTATCTAAAGACCAAGGAGTGCTTTACTTTTGATTGTTTTCATCTTCACTAAAGCCTCTCAATTTCTCTTGCGTTTCTCTGAAACAAGCAAAAATACCAGAAGCCTCAGCATGATAGGGACTTAACCAGAACAAATATGTTTTGCATCATCAAAATACCTTATTTGTTCATCCAATCTGCGCTCCTCCATATTTAAGTTTGCTACTTCTGCCTGCAGGGTGCAAAGAGCTGATGAGGACTGAATCTAGTAACTTCTGGAAGTACGAATCCATCTCTCTTCCCTCTTAGTTTGAAAACTTGTAGCTCGTTGTACATGGGGAAGGATTAATAAACCATTGAATGTATATGAAGTAGCATTTTGAGTACGTAACATGAACTTAATAGACATAATTTGATGTTGCTTGAAAGTGTTTATTTTCAATAGATGGTTAAAGAAATTTTTCACAAAATTCCTGATCGCTGATGGCTATATGTCTATCTTGTTTTCTGATATTGAACAGCTTCATGCAGGTTATTCAATGTACAGATAGAATGGACAGAAAAAATTAGTATGACAATACCAGAAAGACACGGTAAGAATGGAGTATAAGAATCATAAGCTAAAACCAAAATTGGCAGCAAAAGCAAAAAGAACCACAAAGATATTTAGACTGTGCACATGCAAATGGACATGTATTTCAACTGGACTGGAACTATACCCAAGTCTGCAAAATCTATAGATGTCAACCAAAAAAATCATATTTATATTTTATGATCATACCTGTAAGCTAGGGAGATTCTCATCCACTTGCCCTGGTCTCGAGACATCCAGACCCCTGTTTAATAATTATATCCATTAGTAACTTCTCCTGTTCAAATTGATCACCAATAAAAAGGAAAAACATTATACAACAAATAACTTCCATAATATAATTTTCAAGAGTGCTTCCATACTTCCACTGGATTCTGTTTTTGATTTTCTTTTCTATAAGACCAATGCCTTCAAGGACATTTGTTATGTCGTATATACGCCTTTTCTGCACCTGTTAAAAGATAAAACTTTCAGTTTATCGGATGTAATCTAATGTGAAGCATCAGGTGGAAGATATATTCACCTCTAATCTGTCAGCGGCTTTATTTAGATCAAGAATACCATCTTCTGCATGTTTGATCAGATTAATGAACTTTTTGGTTAAGAGACCTGGTTATGTAAAATGACATTGTTATCAGTATGTCCTAAATATCACAGTCCAATCAGGATAACGAGCAAGGGAAAGGGAAGAAAGAAAGGAAAATTCAACAATTCAAGCATAATAAATTACCTAGGGAGTTATCATACCGAGATGCACCAACTGGAGTGAGATTATTGCCGGAATGAGAACCTGTGAGTTCATAATAGATATTCATAAGTTTATCATTCTTTTCCTTTGTAACCTTTTTGCTCTTTCAGAAATAAGCAGGACAAGACGCTAAAGAGTTAGACAGAGGGGGGACAAAAACAAAGATGAACAGATTCATTAGCTACCCTCCATTACCGTGGAAGCAAGAACAAAGCCCATGTTTGGTAGGGATTAAAATCTAAATTTTAATCTAAGTCAAAGCCAACAATTAATTTTAACCACATATTTCATGGGACACAACTTTTCAACAACACATTTCATTAACTTTTATCAAAATCTACTAAAAATCTTATTTTAATCCCCACCAAATGGGGGCAAAGTAATAATTAACTTAGAGATCCCGAATTAAAGATTTGCACCAGTAATACTCACCAATATTTGCCACGTGAGTTTGAGATTCAGCTTTACTAGCCTTTGGTGTCCTTGGAACTTTTTGAGCCTTTGCCACTTTTCCTGATCCTGGTGTCTGAAGAGGACCCTTGACGACACCAGCAAGGTTAGGACTCGGGTTCTGTTCAACAGATTCCACTGCACAGGCTGCTGTATCATTCTTCCGCTTCAATGGCTAGAGGACACAATTTCATGAACAAATCATCAACATGAATTTTAAGTGAAATTAAGTTTGTCTTGGCAGACCAAACGAAATGCTGGAATTAAAAGAAGATATGCTTTCTATGAAAGACAACACAACTCCAGTGTAATTGTAATGTAAGAATCATAAAGCCTGGATAATGATTTTTAAATGAGAAGCTGAAAAGCAAAACTCAAGACCAACCTTAAGGCACATACATTGCAAGGAACTCCAGTTATTAGACGATAATGATAATGCAATCATCAAATTCATAACTGAATACCCAACTACAGCATATCAAAAATGATATTTATGTAAGTTCCTCTCTATGTAAGATGTCTCACCAAACATTTACGAGTTACAATTGTAATTAGCAGACTACGTCCATTTGGTGATACACCAAGATATAATGTCAAAAGTATGTTTAATGAGCTAAAAGCTGCCATCTACATCAATGCTAAGAACAAGCACCTGATTTAACTCGTTTAGTCAAGGCTTGTTTGGGAAGTGCTTATAAATATAATTGGTCAAACTTCTTTTTATCCACAAACTTCGTAGGACCTACAAATACTACCCTTTATCCATCACACATTTCTATCTATTTATAATTTAAGCTTTCGTTTGGCACAATTTATAAATCATTGATAAATACTCAAACATAATTTTCAACTAATTTTTTATATAGATTAAGTGTAGTTACACTGCACTTAATACAGATTACATAGAGAGTTTTCCAAGTCTTTCAACACTCTATACAATCAATGCAGCACATAACCTCTAATGAAGATAATAGTATGCAATCCGAGTAAGTGTACAAATGAATAGTAAAAGAACTTACCAACCATAATAATTTTAGGTTCTTGGACAAGCCCAATCCATAAACTAACATAGACAAACAAATAGATAGCTAAGCAAGTGCATTTTGAAATAATATGATTCATTTGGCTTGTGTCCTACTCATCATCTATAGATATTTCAAAGGAGTGAGATTTTTTATGAGATCGTAAAAGTAGTTCATACGGTATGTAATGGAACAACATCCTAAGATATCCATCCAGGTTCAACTTAATCTTAAGTAAAAATATAATGCCCTCTATTATGGGATCTAAAAATATAAAACCTAATGTAATTTAAACAACGATTTAATTAATTAGGACTGATCAAAGCCAGACTATATAACTCCAACGGAACTGATTCAGCAAACAAGCCTAACGAGTTTTCAACAGTCCTCAGCAATTTGAAGTTTTGTACGATGTGATCCAATCATAATGTTTTCTTGACATTCTTACATTTCCTACTCGAACTCCTGCATATAAACTAATTAATCGTTCTCAAGATTAACTATATTTCAACTATACATTTAGACAACAAACGAGTACATCTCCTTTAATCTACATAAACATCCAATGCTAATTCTCTTTTAACAATCAAGTGAAATCTTCTAGTAAGCAACATTGCAATTTGCTCGCAATACCAAATTTCAAGTATATCCTCCAATGACTATGACCATTGAAAAATCAAAAAGCACAATTGAATTTTAGAGGACACTCGAAGCTATTGACTTATGGTTAAGTAGTGACTATGAATATTTCAAGTATATCCTCCAATGACCATGAAAATTTCAAAGTACTTGTATTATGCTTTCAACAGGATATTTGCTAATATAATATTCTCTGCAAATGCATCGGATAAGATTGTAGATCTTCGAAGAATCAAGAAACTAATAAGTGATTCGAAATTTTCCCTTGATATCAATTACATTGGTGAAAACCATACCAAAGAATTAGGCTCACCCTCATCTCCAGAAGAATTGAAATCAAACCCACTTCACATACAACAGAAAAAATGGAAGATTAACGAATACAACAAGCTAAATGACTCAGGTCAAAACCCTTACAATCCATACAAATTTGCTAATTCAAGTCCAACTCATTCAAGGTTTTCGTATGACAATACTTGATTCTTCATATTGGAAATGACCCCTATATGATTACCATAAATTTGAACTTCAAATATAAATTGTTTTCAATATCCAGGTAAAGAATAGATCTTAACACGCCGTATAAATCATAATCCCACACAAGCTGAATTATAATTCAATTACAGCTCCATAAACTAAACAAGAAAATGAGTAAATAGATAAATCAGCATAAGGAAGATCAGAAAATGAAAACTTACCGGAGGAGTCTTCACAACAACAACTTGATCATCATCCTGATTAGGTTTTCCTCGATCAGAATCAGCATCGAAACGGTGGTAATCACCTCCAAATGGCGGCTTTGGGGAAGTGAATGGTAGCTGTCTCTTCAAATTCTGCTTCTGTGAGTTGTGGTGTTGCATGATTCATAAATCTTTTCTTGAAGCTCGAAGAGTGTAACAAATACAGAATTTTTTGTTATTTGGATATTCAAGAATCATTGGGAGTATTGAAGGGTTTGGGGTGAGGAAAAGGGGAAGTAAAATTGGGGAAGCAAGAGGAATTTTACGAGGGAAATGGAAAAGGGGCGTGGAGAGATCTGATTTAGGGAAAGGAAGAATGAATAAAAAAAGCGGGAGAGAGTGAAGGGTGGAAGGGGGAATTTGGTTCGGATATAGATGTGGAGGGAAGAAAGAAATATATTCACTTCTTAAAAGAAAAATAAATAGAAATTTGCATCTTTTGATCCTTCACTTTTTCAAAATGTAACAAATCTCTCTCAACCTTTTTTTTATCATAATTTATCTCCAACTTTTTAGTTATATATTCCCTCCTTTTTTATTATTAAATAATGGATTTGTCCTTCCTTTAAAATAAACAAATATATAAAATTTTAATATATTTTTCTTTTTCTTCTTTTCAAAGTCACATTCTTCAATAAAATAATATTACTTGTAAATCAAAAATCTTTCTTTTTTTTAGTCATACATTCTCCTAAAAATTACTATTCGAAAATATATTATTTCCAAAAAATTGGCAAAACAAGGAATTGCAATACGTAGCATTAGCGCGAAAACACAACTGAACAAACCAGACGGAATCATCTTTCTCTCAGCCTCCTTCGATTCTCAAATTCCAATCATTCTTACCCTTTCGTAAATAAGTTCATGAGTCTATTCAACTTTCAACAAAAGAACTGGTTTTCGTGCTGTTGATTTTTTATTTTTGTTAGTTTTTTTCAGTAAAATTTTTTCTATATTATGATGAAAGAGTGGTGATGTTTAAGCAGTTTTAATGATTAAAAAAGTAAAAATATATGGAGAAAATCATTTTGTCATTACGATATATGAAGAAAACAGTAATTTCTGCATCAGACTACACTTTAATATTTACGTGATTGAGGATAAAAGATAAATTGATTGCTTCTCTTCTTTCTTGAATTCTCTTTTTGAAAAATGCTATGTGTACTGGTTTTGTTTTACAGATTTTTTACAAATGGCAGCATCTGTGTTTAATTTGAGAAGGAAGATTTGTGCAGCTAAAAATCGTGCTGCAGTTTTCTGATCAATTTATTTCATTCAATCTAATTGAAATGTAAAGGTTCAAAACATATATATGAAGTAGTAGCCAATGATAGGTGGACACATGTCCTAACAGAAATTAACTAACAGAAGGAATAAAAAACATGTAAAGGAAAGAGAAAAAGGAATAAAGAATAATTCTTCATCCCCCCTTCAAGCTGGAACGTGGTGAATATCTGCCAAATCCAGCTTGGAGAGAAGAAACTGAAATTGAGGAAACGGTAAAGCCTTCGTAAAAACATCTGCAAGTTGCTGAGAAGAGGAAACATGTTGAGGAAAAACAAAACCTTCTTTGAACTTATCCCGCACAATGTGACAATCAATTTCCAAATGCTTGGTACGCTCGTGAAATACCGGATTCGCTGTAATGTGAAGAGCAGCCTTATATCACACCAGAAAGGAACCGGTAAAGGCAGGGTGATTTTAAAATCTGCAAGAATGTAGCTAATCCATTGAAGCTCACAAATCGTAGCAACCACACTCCTATATTCTGCTTTTGTTGTGGATCTAGAGACTGTACTCTGCTTTTTTGTCTTCCAAGAGATTAAGGCAGGGCCTAAGAATATGCAAAAACCAGTAAGAGATCGACGAGTATCAGCACAGGACGCCCAATCCGCATCAGAATAGGCCGTCAGAGAAAATTCTTGCTGAACAGGAAAGAAGAGGCCTTTAGAAGAGCAACCTTTTAAGTACTTTAGCAAATGCATCGCGGTCTCCCAGTGAATCTAATAAGGAGAGTTAACAAACTGGCTCAATTGCTGTATCCCATAAGTGAGGTCTGGCCTTGTAAGATTCAAGTATAAAAGCCTTCCAATCAGTCGTCTATATCGTGCTGGATCTGGAAAGAGCTGGCTATCAATCTGAGATAATTTTGTTCCTTTAGGAAAAGGAATTCCAACAGGTTTAGCACCAGTAAGACCTGCATCCCTGACCACATCCAAAATATACTTTCTTTGATTCACATAAGTACCATCCTTTCCTCTAGCTATCTCGAGTCCCAAAAAATATTTTGCATAACCCAAATCTTTTATAGTGAATGTCGAATGCAAAAATTGTTTGACAGAGATTATATCCAATTCATGAGTCCCAGTAATTAATATATCATCAACATAGATTAGAAGGAAAACACTGTGATCGGAATATTGATGGACAAAGAGACAGTGATCATGCTGGGACTGAGCAAAGCCATAATCAGTAAGTTTAAGGCATAATTCAATATTCCACTGGTGTGAAGCTTGCTTCAAACCATACAAACTACGTTTCAACTTGCACACTTGGCCTGTCAAAGCTTGGGTATATCCGGCTGGGGGCTCCATGTATATTTCTTCATCAAGATATCCGTGTAAGAAAGCATTGTTGATGTCAAGCTGGTGAAGAGGCCAGGCCTTTGCTGAGGCAATTGCAAGGAATATCCTTACTGTCACTAATTTGGCTACAGGTGAGAAGCTCTCAAAAAAATCTATTCCCTCCATTTGATCATATCCTTTAGCAACCAAACGTTCTTTGAATCTGTCAACCATTCCATCTGGTTTCAGTTTGATCTTATATACCCACTTAGACCCTATTGCTTTCTTCCCAACAGGTAAATAAGTCATCTCCCATGTCCCATTATCCTCCAATGCCTTCAATTCATTATTCATGGCTTGTACCCAATTTTGATCCTTACTAGCTTGATGATAAGTATGTGGTTCTTGAAAGCTTGATACATTAGCCAAAAAAGAAACATATGCATGATGCAGATAAGGAGAGACAGAATAAGGATAAGTGGTAGGTATATGTTGGGAGCTGAATTTAGTGGTATCTAAAGTGACTTGAACATTAGCAATTGGATCCACTGCACTTTCAGTAACATTAGTGATATAGTCATCCAACCAAGCTGGTCTAACTTTCAATCTGCTACTATATCTATGCTCTTCTACATTAGTAGCCTCAGATATATCAGTTTCAGGAAAAGGGACTTGTATAAGAGGTACAATATCAGAATCAGAATTAGAAGAGCCTGGTGTTTGATCATCAGTAACAGAATCAGATACAGGAAACTGAAAAGGATCTGAATGATCTTGAAGAGTATTAGGAGAGCTTGGTGAAGGAACAAGAGGATTAAGAAAAAAATCTTCAATAGGTGATCCCACAGGCAAAGGAGAGTGAGTGACGGGCCGTTTTTCAACTTTAAAAGGGAAAATGTGTTCATAAAAAATGACATCCCTAGAAATATGGATTTGTTTGCTAGATATGTCATAGACCTTATAGGCCTTCTGTCCCGGACTGAGCCCAATGAAAATACATTTGTGTGCCCTTGATTCAAATTTATCTTTGTGGGGCTTTGTATTGGTAACATAACATAGACATCCAAAAGTTTTGATGAATGATAAATCATGTGTTTTTCCATATAGAATTTCAAAAGGGGTTTTCCATTTTAGGATAGCACTTGGAATCCTATTTATGATATATGTTGACATAAGAATGGAATATGACCAAATATCTGTAGGAAGATTGGCTTGAAGAATAAGTGATCTGGCCATATTCAAGAGGTGCCTATGTTTTCTTTCAACCACTCCATTTTTCTGTGGAGTGTAAACACATGAATTTTGATGTAAAATACCTAAGGCTCGAAGTAAATTTGGACACTCACGGCCAGTAAAATCACTTCCATTGTCAGTTCTTATGGACTTAACAGTTTTTTCAAATTGATTTCTGGCCATTTTAAAAAAGGACTCAAGAGTATGAACAGTCTGGGATTTTTGGATCATCAAGAATGTCCATGTGGCTCTAGAATAATCATCCACTATGGTGAGCATATAGGGAGTTCCTGTTGGTGTATGATGTTTATAAGGACCCCAAATGTCAATATGTAGCAAATCAAAAATGGATTTTGTGTGAATCTGGGAATTCTGGAAAGGTAATCTGCTTTGTTTAGCTTTGTGGCAAGTATCACATGGTTGCAAGCATTTTATAACTGAAGCACCACAAAGTGGATTAAGAAAATCAAGATGTTGCAAGCATTGGTAAGAAACATGTCCCAATCGATTATGTCAATCAATGATAGAAATAGAAGGAGTTTTATTAACATGAAAAACACTATCAGCAGGCTGAAAATTCTCAGCTGAGGATTTATTACAGACATCAACTCCTATATTACAATGTTCAGCATGTAAGGTCTGAAAACTAAAATCATCTAATGTATATAACTTCCCATTCAGTTTTCCAATTGCTAGAATTCTTTCATTCTTCAGGTCCTGTAGAGAGCAATGAGTTGGATAAAAGGTGAACTTAACATTTTTAGTTTGAGTCAATTTTGGAACAGATAAAAGGTTGAATTTGAATGTGGGAATGTGTAAAACATTGGTTAAAAAGAGTTTTCGATTTATGGTGAAGGATCCAATATTTTTAACATGTTTCACTGATCCATCAAGCAAACAGACAGCAATAGGTTGTGTAACTGGCTTAATATCTGTCATTTGGTTTATATCTATGCATATATGATTGCTAGCACCAGTATCAATTATCCAAGTACTACATCCTAAATTATCAAGTGAAGTAAAAGCCAAATGTTGGATACACATACCAGAATACTCGTTGAGATGTGCAAAGTTAACTTGACTGCTATCATCAACCAGTAACTTCCCTTTGAGCATTCTCTTCAGTTCCTGTTGCACTATGTTTGTGATACTTCCAGATGATGCATCACCCTTTTGATTCATAACAGATGTCCTTTCATCAAAATCAAGTGGTGAGTCACTCATATTCATCACATTATTCACCACATTTCTTCCCCCAAATTCCTTAGCTCTTTGTTCCTTTAGGCCTCTATACTAATCCGGATAGCCTATCAACTTGAAACA